TTCGAAAGGAGAGAACGAAAGGAGAAGAACGAAAGGAGAACTCCTGTCATTCGAAAGGAGAGAACGAAAGGAGAACTCCTGTCATTCGTGCAAAGAGGAAAAAAGCTAACTTTAAACTCGTAATCCATAAGCCCTACAGCCCAGTCTCCCTCTTTAAGGTCAGCATATAAAGTCACCAAGCACTACTTCCTATCTGCAAACCTAGCCGTTTCGGAAACCGTTTCTGAACCTTAAACCATATATCCTAAAGATTACCCATCTGTAGATCGCCAGAGTGAGCGGTCGGAGCAAGCGAGGGCAGCAGGCTGACAAAACACCCTAAACCCGTAAACCCTAAAAACCCTGAAACCTTACGCCAACAGCCCATCCATCAAGTAAGGAACTGAAATCGAAACTTTGGTTTCTGAATCCTGATCCCTGAACGACAGATAGAGAAACCTTCCACTTGTACAGGCACAAGACCCACTGCTACGACATCCACGAACAAACCAGGACGAAGCATTCTTTCCTAATGTTCGTCACAAAAACTTTAGGCTACACCCTGAAACTGACGTAGCTCTTTCCTGCCCGTCTGAGTTGTAGGACCTTCAACTCAATGCCCTTCAACTAAGTTCTCGAGGCAAAATGTTCTTGACACGTCTGCGCTGCTTCGACTGGGGTTCTGTGCTTGCCCAAGCATGCCAAGCGAAGCGCTGTTTACGGTCAGGTTCCTTCTAAGGCTCTAAGGTTTGCTGACATGTAAAGATTACTGTTGGGTGATGTGACAGCATATTCAATACTTCAGTTCTCTTTCGTCTGCTCTTCTTAGTGTCAAATCGTACAGTTTCGTAGATTTGCTGGGTTTCGCAATAGGACATTTCCTATGTTCTGTTAGGTTGCAGCATCCGTGCAACTTCCATTAGGGATGAGTTAGTGAAATACTATCAAATTTACAACACTGCATGGTTTCCAGTTGCACTGACTGAACTTTGCGGCTTTTCGGGTCACGATGGAGGCTTCCTGCACGAATCCTGGGTCTTCTGCATTGGTTGGGGTCTCCTTGCATTGATGGAGGAAGGTGTCCTTCTAAGTTTCGCCCAGGAGCGACGGACTGCTGCTGTGGCGGCATGCCCTTGCCCCAACCTTGGAAGCTAGCAGGAGCCAGCGTTGCAGTGAGTAGGACCACTGGAAAGATGCTGGCCTGCGTTGGACCCTGTAACAGTTGTGCTAGGATGAAGTGTTGGCCGACAAGACTACTAGGTTGCGGTCTGCTTCCTTGGGGGTACAAAGCTTTGGGTAGCCTTGAAGCCTCAACTGTTTGAGAGCCTGAGCCCAGGAAAGTGCGTGCCAAAGCAATGCTGATATCTAGTATCATCGAAGGAGTGGCCCAAGCTTTTGTCGAGAAAGCACAAAAGCCAGTACAACATTGCGTGAGCATATGTGCACATATACATAATGTCAAATAATGTCTGTGTATGTGCTTTCACAGGTAGGTGTCAGTGAGTGGCGATGCTATACTTGTGCCTATGGGCAGCTATGACAACCGTCTCTGCAGAAGCTCGTGCAGAGACCCTTGACAAATTGACCCAGACAAGTTATTGATTTCGCGGTTCTAGTATAGTCCGAAAACAGATCATGTCCTTCGTGCTGTGGCTGCTAAATGAGGTATCTACGTGGCCTAAAGCCACGTGGACCTGAGCCTCCACGCCCCCAAGCGCGACCGCTTCTGAAACCTGTCCGTGTTCCAGGGGTAGTAGCATGCACGGACGACACTGTCAACTATAGTGGCTTGGCCAGTGTTTCTGATCGAACTGCTTACTTTCATCAGCTGGCAACTCCGCGGTCTGTTTCTGGGCAAACAGCTTCTCCTACGAGAACACCACGTGAAGTAGACGGCCAAGCTGACGAATCTGGTGCAACTCTGGAGGTACACTTCGATTGGCAGGCTATGTCGCGGTTTCAAGATACCCTGCATGGCATCCCACAACTCGAAGCAGCAAAAACTAAGAAGCGAAAGCGCCCTCACTATGATAATCGTCAGCGGGCACAGAACAAACAATCATCGCGTAAAACGGATGTGTTTCCTGACTCATCTAGCATCGTATGCCTACTTGGGTTTGTTTTAGAAGGCCATGATTGGTAATGAATAGATGCTTGGGTAACCTACCCGCTCAGGCATCGCAACAACGGAGTCAGCCGCAGCCGCTTGGCCGAACTGTTTGCTGGCAGATGCGGATGCAGTGGCAATTGCTTTAAGCAGTTTGAAACTGATCTGACGAATGAAGTTTCCAGCTATGTTGCTGCCTTCTGGAAATTCGACAAGTTGCAGCAGGATGCATTTGTGCTCAGGCTGCATTGTCAGTTGCCGGTTTGTTTTCGCTGCAGTCGGGAACGTGAGTGCTTGTAGTACTTTTACTTGGCCCTAAGTTACGGGACGTGACACGGCCACCAGATGGTGGAAGTTACCGTCGTCAATGGTTTCTGCTCGGCAAGCCTTTGGGAGCCAAATGCACTGCATTGATATTGGGTATAGGCCGAGAGAGACTACGATCTGCCTGCAGTCGTAAGCTGGACGAACGGTATGCTCAGAATGGACTGGTCGTTCAGCTGCAGCTAGACGTTTGTTACTTTGGCTGACAATGAATAGGCACGTCTGTGTAGTCACTGCCACCTAAGGTTGCCACACATGCAGCTCCCAAGCACTCTCGAACGGATGCTTTCTTGCTGGATGTTTACATCAAGGCGGGAAGTACAATGCCGGATAAGTTGCCAAGCTGAATACGGCTTCTGTGCACGACTTCCACTACTCATGCAAAAGAATGGCTTCTTGGCGTGTCAAGGTTTCGTCGTGCTGCTCAGAAACGTGCCAGTGGGAAGGGCAAGCCTGGTTCGGGTCTGTGTGCCGGCTTGGGGGAAAATGACTCGTGTTCTTCTGGCGCCGCGGCTTTTCCACAGTGTGACCACATGTTGGCATATTCGCTGTCCTTACGGTTTCACTGAATCCTGCCCAGGTGATGAGCACATGAGCTCAGACGGCAGCGATGGCTGCTTGGCCCAGGATGGTGAATTACTGGAGGAAGACGAAGAGCTGAAGCTCTTCATCATGGGGCAGAAGTCCATATTCACAAAGCCACCTGTTCGTGATTTCACTGTAGATCTCCTTTTGTTCGATTTGCCACACCGTGAGCCTATTTCTAGGTATGTGGAGGCCGACCATGGCCGACGTATCAGCTCTTTGCCCACCCGCTATCTGCCACCTGGCAACATCAAGATGCTCTGGCTGCAGTTCGGAGGCCTTCAATCCGAAATTTCGTGCCTCGAGTGCATCCGAGGAGGTTTTGAAATTGTAGAATCAGAGCACAAAAGCTGCAGCACAACCAAATTGATGCAAAATCAGGTACAACCATTTCTGGCGCCGATTCCGGGAAGCCTGGGCAAATGTGTTGCGATTCACCCCCGAGTCCAGCCACGCAGGCTGCAGTGAATGCTTGAAATTCAAAGAAGAGCTCTCGGGATCTTTTGCTGAGCCTAGGTTGCCTTGGTTCGCGTTACCAGTTTTAAAATATCCCCTGTTGTGGCGCAAGTGCTCTTTTCATGCTCAGGATCTCCAAAGCAGGTTCGAGGTCGCCAAAATGTATCGGGAGCACCTGACTAGCGTCGCCAAAGACCGAGAGTTGGAAGAATACTTTCAGGACTGAGCACTTCCTATGCTTGTGCCATGTAGTAGTTGCTGCGGTGTCAAATGTCTTTTGCCCTGCGAGAACTGCGACCCGTGGGAGACAGGCGTGGTCTGTCTCCATTGGGAAACCGGGTTGCAACAGTAATTGTGTCATGTCATGATGCTGCTTCCTGGTCTTCCTGATCACATGTTGCTTCAGGACGGAATGGACCAGGCGAAGTGGAGCATTCCCAGAAGTCGTCATGGGATCGCTGGTGCAGACATAGCGAAATTTGAGAAGCCGAGGCTGAAGTTGCAATGTTGCTGGTGCCACTCCATTGGGTTGCACTTTTTTTTGGTGGACCCGCGGGTCCAGAGTGACGCATCAATGGTACTGGAGTGTGGTGCACGTGCCCTCGAGCACATGCAGCAGAAGGCCAGGCAACTGAACCGCCCTGCTCCAACACAGCTAACAGTGGTTGCCGCTTTGTCTGCAGTGGACAATCGTTTTTACAAGCATAGCCAGCTTGAAACATGTCATAACTCAGCGGACCCGAGGCAGACAATTGCACCAGAGAGAATAAAAATAACCAGGTTGTCAAATACTTATGTCTCCTGGCCGCCTCTTTCAAGATGAACGTTGCGTCATTGCTCATGCATCGCGTGGGACATACAAAGTCCTGCGTTGGACACTTTTCGACTTCTAGTATAGAATTGTTATTCTCAATTTTCGTCTGTAAATTTATGTTTCTCAAGGGGCTGATAGCATTGCAGCAATGAAGCATTGCGCTGCTAAGACCAAGTGTTCGGAGTGCTACGGGCATGCTTCCGGTACATCGACGTGCTGGCAGATGCTGACGATGCCTGCGAGCCCATCAGCTAGTTTAGTGAGCGTTTGCCTTGTGTATTGTTGCCATCCTGCAATTGGCTGTTTCTGGCAGACAGCATCCTAAGGAAACTAAAAGACGTTTGTCGACGGCTTCGTCTCCAAGCATGGCTCGGCAAGCACGCAGACATTACTGTGACCAGTGTGACGACTGTTCGTGACTGGAAGCGATGGCAAACTGTCTGCAGATCGGGCGTTGCTGCGATGCCTTGTTTCTGTGCACCTTCATTGCCGACGTTACCATGAGTGTCTGCTGAGGCTGGCAGCAATTCCCGTGAGTTTCAGCGGGGGCATGAAAGACGATGATACGGCTATTCACTCATTCACGTTTATGAGACGAATGGGCCTCCTGGATTCCTTCTAGTTTTGAGACATGATCTGTACACTCAAGGTAGAGAGACTGCAAAAGTTGCATGCATATACAAACCAAGATTGCCCCGCGAACTTGCAGATCCGAGCCACGGGAAGGTATGCCCAAGTCGTGCCATCCCATCCAGCAGACGTGTTGGGATTTGTCAAGCGGTACATATCGGATTCAGAGTTGTGCCAGGATTCTCGACAAAATCTACATAGCCTGACCTCGTAGCTGGCAGCACACCCCAGCTATTATACATTGCTTAATTTAAGTTCCTAAGGAACCACTGCTGGCCCTGCCGCACGCCTACTTGAAGCTGCTCAACGGAACCGTGCCTCTGTGGCCGCGACCACTGAAGAGCCCGAAACCTGAGAAAAAGGATAAATGGCTGAAGCTCGCCAGAGCACTTCTCAGTAAGGGCAACTCGGAGATCACAGAACGGAGCGTGGCTTACTTGATTCTTCTCAGCACGAAATTGGACTTCTCTGCTTTACCCTCTCTTCCGTGGCACAGCCTAGCTGTGGACTTCGGGCCCCATGTTCAAGTGGACTTTGGTGCAGCTGACAGGAAGATCCTGTCAAAGATGTTGCCCGCTATGCTTTTCCGTGCAGCTATCCGCAGGATGCCGTAGGGCTGCCCTCTCTGACAACAATTGAAGGAGGGGAACCAGAGTAAACCAGAGCAGCTGACTGGGCAGCAAAACGATTTTCGTAGCGATGGGGAACTTCTAGGTTACGGCAACCTGCACAGACACCGCTATCCGAGGCGCTGTCGTTCAGCCGTCGCGCTGCGAACACAGGCCCACCTGCTCAGCAACCGTTGACCCATCCGGCTAAAGCTAAAGTTGCTGTCACACGACATGTCGTTTTTGTTTCAGTCAAGCTTCACCCCGAAAAGACTTCAAAGCTCCATTATCTCATTGCCTGACTTCAGGAGTCCTTCGGCGAAGAGGCGCAGATCGGTTGTGCACAGCCTCGGAAGCGGTGCGAGGATATGCAGTGCAAACGTTTGGTTGCCCTAAACCCAAACCCTAAACCCTGGAAATTACTAGCAATTGGTGTCTGACCCTCGAAACCCAGCAGCGGTCCGTGGTTCACAGGGCCCACGTGTAGCAGGGTAACGGCTGCTGCTGTGCTGCTACGAAATGCCAGCCCTCCCACGTGCAGCTGCCATCCAAATGCTGGCGCAAGGTCTCAGCAAACAGAAGCCAAAGGGCCCCAACACCGTCAATGCTAGCGTTGGTCGGGCTTGGCTGCTGGCACGAGCACGGCAGCAAGTCAAGCAAGCTTCTCAGCCAGCCAGAAAGAAGCCGGCAGCAGTGATAAAGCAAACCAAGAAGACCCGAACCCAGCCCAAAGCGATTCTCAGCTGCTATGGTGCGTATTCTATTGCAACTCAGAGATAGCTCATAGCTTGTAGTCATGTATACACAGGATGTTCTTGTATTACCACTGATATTTAAAATTTTGCAGAAAGAAAGATCAGATTGCATTTGCTGATAGCAAAGGAGAAAATACCCCAAGACGGACATCGAGCCAGCTTCCTCCGAAAGTCCCCGAGGGCCAACCACGCTAATGGATTGCTTCAAGTGGCCCACCACTTTTTTGGAGACTCTGGGTGCTTGCTACGGAGAAGACTTTGTGTTGACTCAGCTGAGTACATGGAAGTGGTCTGTGACGACCTGCTTCAGCGGAGTCGGCTGTGCAGAGAGTGTCACATCCTTGGTTATGCCAACATGCCTGCTGATTGTACATATTTAAACTAGTTGTGATTAGGACAATCGTGTGGTACTTGTGTCAATTGGCTGCTCTGAGGCTCTCCACAGCCTTGAAGCTAGTGCACACAACTTCAAGTCCGAGCATGCCTCTGTTGTCGAGGGACCAGACAAGCATGTCATCTTCGATTCGAGCTGCGACGTCAACAGCTGGTGCCGGCATGTACTCACATCGACATACCCTTGCACATGCAACTTTGGTGATGTCAACGAGATGACGGGCAAGAAGGCTTGGTGTTACACACACGAGACGGAGTGTCTAGTCGTCAAACCTGCTTCTGACAGACGTGGTCGAATCATGCCTACACAGTTAGTGTTCAGATTCAGTGGTGCTGCTACCTCCCTCTTCGCTCCTTTGAGCTAAACCCTCTAACTACCCTAAACCCTATAAGCCCTAAAAACCCTGAACCCAAAACCCTATAAGCCCCAAACCCCAAACCCTAAACCCTATGATATAGCCCTCTAAGCCCCAAAACCCTAAACCTTAAACTCTATAAGCCCTAAAAGCTCTTCCTGCTACAATCCACTGAGGACTGAGCGTGACTATCGCAGGCTGCATCCTCAGTCCAAATCAGAATCGATTGTTCTGCGACAGGAGCCATTGTACTAGACTAGATTAGATTGTTTGTCTCCCATTAGACCCTACCAGGACCGCCGTGCACTCCCTTCAGTATGATGGGATTACGTACAGCTCAAGATCACAAGGCCTTCGCTTGCCACGAAACGTTTTACGAGAATGAGGTTCGCAAAGGCACAAACCTTCTCGTGATCGAGAACGTGACTGAGTACAAGCTGGAAACGGTACAAAGCCGACTCGGCAAGAACTACTTGTGCTTCGATGCATGCATCGATCCACGGCTGTTTGGCCACGGCACAGCTAGGGCCAGACGGTACATCATAGCAATGTCGACCAAGTCTGTGAAGTGGAACCCAAACATCAGCCTGCGCAATGTGCTTGAAACACTGAGATGTCAACCGGTGATGCAATTGAAGAAGTTTTTCTTCATGAAGACCACCTCCGGAAGAGAGCTGTCAACCTGGCACGTAGCTTGTCGACCCACTGGGCTTTCCACAGGGCTTTCTTGTTGACGGGCTGAGTGGCTGGACATTTACAGTTTGGATCTGAAAACACGGCTCATGGTGCAGTTCTTTCTTGTTGCTTAGCACTGAGCCAAGTAGCAGAGTCTCCACAACAAATTGAGTATTGCCACATGATCATGTAGATCCGAAGCCTCTCCTAAACCCCTCAAACCTCGTCTCCACAACAATTTGAGTATTGCCACATGAACACGTAGATCCGAAGACTATCCCCAAATCCCCCCTAAACCCCTCAAACCTCGTCTCCACAACAATTTGAGTATTG